TGGCACCATACACAGTTATTACAATGTTATTGACTATATTCCCTAGGCTGGACTTCACCTCTCTGTGGCTGTTCTGTAACTACCAATTTGTCCTTCTTAATCCGTCACCTCTTTTACCCATCCCCCAACCTCCTGCCCCGCTCTGGCACCTGTAAGTTTGTTCTCTGTACCTATGAGTAAGACTCAGTATCCTTATATGTGAAGTGGGTAGAGGTGAGCATAGTGTGGGGAGAGAGGCAATAATACCTCAGTTGTAGGCAGTCATAGGTTCAATAAGATCAGCATAGTGCCTGGCATCTACTGAGCCCTCCATTTTTTCTTTGTCTCAAGTGATTTCTTTAGAAAATGAAATAATTTGTAGTCTGTTGTGAGTTGCACTCTGTTGACTTCTGTTCTACTGCCTTTGATTGCATATTGTCTCATTAATCCATCTCTTTCTTCCTCTTTTCTTTTTGTGGATTTCTTCTAATGTTTTTATTCTTAAAGCATCTACACAAATAAAAACTCTTCATTAATTTCCACTGAGGCTTTACGCAGTGAGCCTCCCACTCCTGCCCTTGGAATCCACGCACTCTTTCTCCTTAACGTCTCTGCTAGAGTGAGGTCTTCCTCATGCGAGACCCCCAGGCCACAGCGCAGGCCCTGGTTTGTGAGAGTCCCGCCATCAGTAGAGGACTGCAATGAATTTCGTCATCTTCAGCCAATGAGCTATGTAGTCATTTAAACAAAAAAGAACAAGGTAGCCCTGGCCGGTGTGGCTCAGTTGGTTGGGCGTCGTCCCATGCACTGAAAGGTCGCTGGTTCGATTCCATCAGGGCATATGCCCGGGCTCAATCCCCAGTAGGGGGTGTGCAGGAGGCAGTGATTGACTTTGCATTCTCACATTGATGTTTCTCTTCCTCTCTCCCTCTTCCTCTCTCTCTAGAAATCAATAAAAAATATTTTTTAAAACCAGAACAAAGTAGCTATATATGTCATGATAGGAAATGACCTGAAATAATATTTATAAAGGAAAGCAAGGCATTGGGTATATAGGAGGCTGACATTTGATAGTGAACAAGAAAAAGTTATTCTCGTTATTAAAATATTAAGAATTAAGAGGCAATTGAAGCAAGAATAACTTCTTATTTTGTGGTATTTTGCACTCTTTGCCCCCTGAGAGGATCTGCGAATCATTAGTGAGGATGTAAAGTGACTAGAAATGACCGGGAAAGAATGTGGCCCCTGACTCAGCAGGAGGCCCCTCCACTCCTGCACTTCCAGCTGGTTTCCAATGTGAATGTTGGAAGACAGGCACTCGCTGTCCCTCCCTCTCCTCCCTCCAGGACTGATCCGCCAGGGGCTGTCCCTCCGGCTGTTCTTGTTCTGTTGTTGGTCTGCTTTAATCACCAGCGGAGATACATTTCTCCAAAAGATGCAACTCCCAGGCTATTAGCAGTTCCCTTTCATTTGTTACAGGCGAGACCCTCCCTTACCTTGCTCCTTGTCAGATTCTGAAGGATCGGAAGAGCTGTGGCCCTGCCCTACAGGAGGGTCATGGGACTCTGGTTGCTTGCACACACCAGAATGGCCTTCCTATGTGAGCTCACAGTGCCACGCGTGTGCTGTCTGACCCAGGGAGGCACATCCTCAGGGGTTGGTTACTAGGATATTTTAGGAACTTGCAGATGGAAGACCTTTCCTTACGCCAGGTTTCTCCGCCTCCATACTCATCGTGTTGGGGGCTGGGTAATTCATTATTTTGGGAGACTCCCGTGCATTGTAGGATGCTCAGCAGCAGCCCTGACCTCTACCCACCAGATGCCAGTAATGTTCCTCACATTGTGACAACCAGACAGTCGGCAGACATTGCCAGATGCCCCAGGGGACACAGAATCACCCCAGTGAAGAAGCAGGACCTTAAGTGCCGTGTTCTCTCTATGAGCATAACAAGTATAGCTGCTCAATTCTTTGTCTTCAAACTGCTTCAGACATTTTTCTAAGATTTGCTTTAAATAACCTTTTTTAATAGGTGAGGCGGGGATAGATGCTCTCCTAAGATACTCTTTCCTGTGCCTTTAATTAAGTCACTGGAAACTTGTACCTAATAGCTTTGTAGGACAGTCAGAAAGTGGTGCTTTAATTTGGATGTATTATTACTGAGTTGCCTGGTCTAGTTTTTTGCAAGAAGAATGTTCCATTTTCTTTGAAATGATGGGGCAGTAAGTTTATCCCTTGAGTGAAAGGCGTCTGGCTTTGGTGGAGTGGACCTGTCTAAGGCAGGGAGGGTATATTTCAGACCCGACAAAGGCCTTATCCACACAGGTGCCAAGGCTCTCTCCACCTGAGATACCACAGAAACCACGTGAACTTCCATGTTACTCCTGGGAGTCGACCTCCCTCCCTGGAGGTGCCGCAGAGGATGGAGGTCTGGAGCTGTTCAAACCAGATTCCTAACTTCCAGTGGATGGAGCCCCCAAAACCGATCTCCAAGTTGATCCCGCTCTCAAGCCATTGCATTGAGTTGTCTGTCTCAGGATTGGGGTTATTTTAATCCAACCATGTTCTTCTTTTTTTAAAAAAAAAATTTTTTTTATTGATTTTAGAGAGGAAGGAAGAGGGAGAGAGAGATAGAAACATCAATGATGAAAGAGAATCATTGATCAGCTGCCTCCTGCACGCCCCCAACTGGGGATCGAGCCCGCAACCCGGGCATGCGCCCTGACTGAGAATAGAACCGTGACCTGGTTCATAGGTGAACGCTTAACCACTAAGCCACACCAGCCAGGCTGGACCATACTCTTCTTTAGCCCTCCAGTTGTCCCCAGATGCCCTTAGAGTGCAACCCAGAACCTAACTCTGGCTGACAGGCCCTGCACAATCTCATGTCTGCCTGTCTCCCACCACTCTCCCTGTCACCTCTGCGCTCCAGCCCGTTGGCCTCCTTGGGAACCTGGAGCTGGCCATGCCATTTCCCTCCTCACAGCCTCTGCACTTTCACTCCCTTTACCTGGAATGCTCTTTTCCAGATCTTCTTGAGGCTTGGCTGACTCATTCTCTTACTCCAGACCATCTTAAATGTCACCTCCTTCATCCGGCTCCATACCCTCCCCATCCTCTCGCTTTCTCTTGTCCATAGTGCTTCTAACTATTGAAAGGATCTCCTCCATAGTTTCTGTATTTATTACTTGCCTGCCTGCACTAGAATGTGCATTCCGGTCTCCTCTCATTCAGCACCGGCGCGGTGCCTGGGCAGGCACTGCTAATACTGATCGGGCATGAGTTAGAGCAGAGGCTCTCCGAGGAATATGGCAGGAGGCTCGGGACTGGACGCACTTCAGCCTCTTTCCGTCTGAAGAGCTGTCGGTGTCGCAGTGTGGACTGGAGGACCTGCTCGCAGCTCTTACCTCGTTGTCAGTGTGTGCTGGGTGGGTTAGGCTCAGGAGGAGAGGGCCTGTCAGTAGGAAGGAGGGAGTGGGTCATGCTGCACTTGCACTCCTGTAGCAATATTCTTCTTCCTCCCCACCCTCCTCCTTCTCCCCCCACCTCGCTCCCCACACAACATAAAATTTACCATTTTAGCTATTGTAAAGTGTACAATTCAGGGATATTTAGTACATTCACAACTTTGTGCCACTACCCTCACCATCTAATTCCAGAACATTCTCTGCATCCCAAAAGGAAACCCCAAACTTATAAGCAATCATTCCCCATTTCCCCTCCCCACAGCCCCCGCAACCACTGATCTACTTTCTGTGGATTTGTTTATTTGGGACACTTCATATAATAGAATCATACAATATGTGCTCTGTGGCGTCTGGCTCCTTTCACTTCGCATGATGTTTTCAAGTTCATCCAGGTAGTAGCCTGTGTTAAGACGTCATTCCTTTTTATGGCTGAGTAATATTCCCTTGTGTGGCTGCACCACGTTTGTTTATCCGTTCGCTCGTGATCGTTGAGCTGTTCCCGCCTTTGGCCTGCTATGAACAGTGCTGCTGTTCACATCCAGGCACATGTTTTTGTCTGACCGTTTGTTTTCCGTTATTTTCAGTGTCTGCCCCAGAGTGGAATTGCTGGGCCATGTGACAGTTGTTCACCCAATTGAAATACTGCCGGACTTTCCCCAGTGCTGCCCGTGGACATTTCCACCTGCAGCGCGTTAGGCTCTGGTGTCTCCACATGCTCCCCGATACTCATTTTCTGATTTTTACAAATATATATTATTAATTCTAGTATAGCCATCCTAGTGTGAGGTGGTATCTTTGATTTGAATTTCCCTAATTACTAATGATGTTAAGAATCTTTTCATGTGCTTCTTGACTATTCTGTATCTTATTTGGAGTGTGCCTTTTTGTGGAAGCTTACATTCTTTGTATTGTAATTGTATGTGAACACTTTTTTCTCTCTTCTCTTAAAATTTATTTTTATTGATTTCAGAGAGGAAGGGAGAGAGAGATAGAAACATCAATTATGAGAGAGAATCAGCTATAGGCCACCTCTTGCACATCCCCTACTGAGGATCCAGCCCACAACCCAGGCATGTGCCCTGACTGGGAATCCAACCGTGACCTCCTGGTTCAAAGGTCGATGCTCAACCACTGAGTGGCTGGGCTTTTCTCTCTTTCTTGACCATAATCTGACTCATATATAAAATGTGGCTAATACACTTTTCAGGTGAGGAGTTGGTTTTTGGAAATTAAAGCATTACTCCAATCTTTGTTAATATAATTTTGAAATTTTTTCTTTCTTTCTTGCTGCTGTCCCACTTTCTATTAAAATGCAGCATGTAAATTTTAGGCTTATTTTCCAAATTGACAAATTTAATTCAGTTTTACTTTTCGGAACTTTGACATCTCTGAATCTGTCCCATCATTATTAAATCCTGTAAATGTTGAGGTTTTAAACGTATTTAAAGTCATTTTGTTTCTTATCTAATGTAATATCTAGGTATTTGACTTTTTGCTGTTTTAAGGAAAGCAATGCTGAAAGTAGTTTTCATTGCAACCATTTTTTCCTTTCAGAAAAAATTGCCTCTGACGACACTGGCCCAGTGTTTGATGGAAGGGTCAGCTATCCTGGGAGATGACACACTTCTTGGGTAAGGTGACACCAGGTGTGGGTTTGCCAGATCTAGGTAAGTCCCCATCCGTAGAAAGGGGACCAGCACTGCTTGGGGAAGCACTGAGGAGGCCTTCAGTCTGGCTGCGGACTTTCTGCAGAGGAAGGAAAGGTCGCCAGTGAGAAGCAAAACCCCAGGCCCAGCTATATTTACTGCCTCTGCAGTGGGGCACCTCCCAGGCGGAGAATTAACATAAAACTGCTGACGGACAATTGAAATCCCTAGGGCTCCAGTAAATGCAGATATGAATCCTCTCAATGTCAGATGTCAAAGCATATGGGATTCCCAGAAGAGCAACCCTGGCTGGTCTTGAGCTTATAATAAAAACAAACTAAAAATAGAATTGACATGAGAGCGACTCCTCAGGCACAATGAGGAGGAGAATCAGTGCCCTCAGAAACAAAAACAATAGGACAGTCTGAGAGAAAATATAAAATAATTATGTTTAAAATGAAATTTTAAAATTAAGTAAGCACATTGTGTGCTTTGGCAGCACATGCACTAACATTGGAACGATACATAGAAGATTAGCATGGCCCGTGTGCAAGGATAAATTTTTGAAGCAATCATATTTTAAGAAAAAAATGTTGTAACTATGTATGGTGAAAAGTGTTAACCAGGCCATTGTGGTGATCATTTTGCAGTAAGCACAAATATTAAATCATTGTGTTGTACACCTGAAACTAATATAATGTTATAATATTATTGATGCCTCAATGTAAAAATTAAGTAAGGACAAAATAATCCTTGACCAAAGAAGCAAACAATATGAAAAAAATATGCAGAATCAAAGAAAAAATAATAGAACTTATTAAAATTCAAATTATACTTACTATAGTATAAAAACTTATTAATGATAAACAGAAAATTGCACTCAAATAAAAAATTGATGAACTTCAAAACAGATCTGAAGTCACCACTTAGGATGAAGTGCAAGAGAAGAGGATGTAGGCATTATTAAATGGAGAGGCATGGATGATGTCTAGCAGTAGTTCCTAAGAAGAAAATATGGAGAGGGAAAGTTTATGGTTGAATTTTTCTTTTCTAGATTTCAGATTTTTTTTAAAAAATATATTTTATTGATTTTTCACAGAGAGGAAGGGAGAGAGATAGAGAGTTAGAAACATCGATGAGAGAGACATCGATCAGCTGCCTCCTGCACATCTCCTACTGGGGATGTGCCCGCAACCCAGGTACATGCCCTTGACTGGAATCGAACCTGGGACCTTTCAGTCCGCAGGCTGACGCTCTATCCACTGAGCCAAACCGGTTTCGGCCTAGATTTTAGATTTGATGAAAGACATAATCTTTAGATTTAAGAAGCACAAAAAGTCCTGATTAAGATCAACACAAAGAAATCTATCCTTGGACACATTGTCATAAAACTGGAAATTATTAAAAAGAAAAAAAGTGTCATTTAAGCAGAGAAAAAGATAATTACATATTAAAGAGTAATTAAACTGATAACAGACTATTTATTCATCAGCCAAAATAAATGCCAGGAAATAATGAAGGAAAATCTTCAAGTATTGAGGGAAAATATAAGAATGCAAGATTCTATGACAAACTAAATTATTATTCAAGAATAAAGGGATAACAACAATATTTTCAGCCAAAAATTTAGAGAATTTACTGCTTGTGTATTCTCACTGAAAGAACTAGTTAAGTTCATGTGAAATAGATTATGTCCAGAGGACAGAAATGAAATGCAAGTAGCAAGATAGCATTTGTATAGAAAAAAAAAATAGTGAATATAGTGTGGGAATGAAAACAAGTCTTTTTTCCTCTATGTATTTTAGGTTCCTCTCCTGTGGCTCTGCAAATTAAATTGGCAAAGGACAGATTAACGAGAAAAGCATGCAAATTTTATTACTGTGTGCAGAACTCGGCCATTAGTAACTCAAAGGAGTGGCTGAAACGGGCTCATATAGCATCTCAACAAAAGAACAATGATTTTTAGAGAAGTGGCAAAAAAAAAAAGGAAAAGAAATTTGAGTTTCTAGGGCGACAGATTATGGGAGGGCAACGATATGGAGAAACTATTGGAAAATAAGAGTTGTTAGTAAAGTTCGTTACTTCTTTGGGGCCTTCTCTAGGTGGTAAGAGCCCAGAGTTGTCTCTGGTGACTTACCTGTGTCCTTTCTGGTAGAGTGGGCAAGAGAGACACTTCTACAAATTTATGTTCTGCTTTTAGGCAAGTGGTGGTGGTGGGGGGCGGGGTATAGAGACCTTATTTTGTATCTGAATCTTCTCAATTGCCTTCAGCTCAAAATAATCCTTATGCCATTGTGGCATATTTCGGCACATTCTGCTACCCTTTAGTGTAAGTAAATATTAATAAGCACTGAATTAATGGTAGAAACATAATAATAATTAATTTGATGGGAGTTGAAAGCAAAGCAACACTAAAATACTAGAAAATATTAACATGAAACATTGGAGAGGGAATTAGTGCTGCAGGTTCCTACATTGTTTGGAAGGAGAATAAAGATAGTACATTTAAAGTAAATGCACAAGTTAGAAAAGTTAGAGTAACCACGAAAAGAATAGAAATAGAATGTATAACTTCAAAATAGTAAAAGAATAAAAAGGCAAATAAAATAGAAAAAACATAGAAGGGACTAAAAGAGAAAAAAGTAAGCAAAAAAGCATAATAAATAGAAAACAAAATGAAGGTAACAGTTGCTACTGTATGTATTTGTAATCGTTAGGGATTAAATGGAGAAAACTCAACGTTTATAATATAGAGAATGTCAGGTGGGTAAATGAAGTCATTATATGCTCTTTCTAAGAGTCACACCTAAATCATGACACACATGGTTGAGAGTAAGGGATAGAGGACACCCAGGTAAAGATGGACTGAACACACACATCTAATTTTTTTTCTTCAAAATCTACTACAACAAAGAGATTCATTTTTACTTAAAAGGCATAAGCCCAAAACAAGAGGAAAGACAAGAGAGAAGACAATAGCAACAAAATTTTGTGAGCTATGAAACATGATTGATTGGGAACTGATTTAACAAGTTCCTGAAATCTGACGCCCAAGGCAGGCTATCCAGAGAGCCAACCCCACTTACTCCTTGACATGCAGACACGGCTCAGGATTGGTGGCACCAGGCATGTCGGAACAGTGGGTCTCTGGGGGTAGGGGAGTGTGGATTGTAAAGCTAGTCAACTACCACTGGGGTTGCTCAAACCCAGCACTTACCTCACCTCTGGGAGACTCATCCCCTCACCCCCAATCCCAGCTGAATGGTGGAGCTTTATTCTCTGGGTAAAACAGCTTCTCTAGACAGGGGACACCAGGTAAAGGCACCGGTTATTCAAGAAGAGACTTGAGTGACCTACTGCAGCTGGACACTAAGACTCCAGCTGTCTCCCCACTCATGCAGCCCTCAGGCTCCTACTCCCTAAGCACGAAACTGGAAGAGCCTTCTGTGAGGTGTCTCCAGCCCCAGGGGAATGAACTGCAGACCAGACGCCGCTGAAGGGGGCAGTGCTCCAGCGCACGGCCCGGCTAGATCACCCTGCCGACGAGCTCCCAGCTGTGAGCTCCGCTCACAGTTTCCAAGATGCTGGTCTCTATCCTCACATACAGATAGGACCGAAGACCACCAGGCACTTGAAACTTAGACACCAAAACAGTTGGAGAAATAATACAAGAGTGAAATCAGGAAGAAATAGATATTGCCTGGGGGAGGAGAAGGTTTCAGGAAAATTATCACATATCTTCAAGTGAGAAGAGAAAATAAAGCCTCTATTAAACAGAAAATAGGATGTGAATAAAAGTATTTATGGGAAAAGCACTCAGATCAAAAGCAAACTGAGAGAAATGAAGAATATGACATTCTCAGTAGGTTTGGAAAGTGAGGTTGAAGAAATCTAGAAACGAGGGCAAGAAGACGATGACAGAAAATAGAAGAGTTGGGAAAGCAGAGGAAGTTTTAAGCTTCAGTGACGGGAGTTGTGAGGGAAGGAAATAAAGGGAGGAAGATGATGATAATGATGATGATGATGATGATGATGATAAAATGATCTGAGAGAATGAGGACCGAAGGACACGTAAGGGCCACTGAACTCCCAACACAGTAAAAAAATTACACCGGTGCCAGGGCTTCCACTCACTGGTGGACACTAGTGACAAGTAAGAGATTCTGCAATCTTCTAGAGAGAAATGTCACATAAGAGGGTCACAAATTTGAATGCGTCCAGCCTTGCCAGAAGCAACAGGGGGCGCTGGAAGATGATTGAGCCATGCCTTCAGCAGCCTGACGGGCTAAGCCGAGTCTGCCCAGCTGTCAGTTGCTGGGTGGAGGGCAGTGTCGTGATGAGTAAGTTCTCAGAAATCGACGCCCCACCCACAGTTCCTCAGGCAGCTAAGCAAGATGTGCTGTGTAATGAGGGAGTGACCAGGAAAGGGAGACAGAGGATGTAGGGAACAGGACACTCAGGACAGAGAGAGAGCCTGCAGGAAATGGTGGGGGAAATGCGGGAAGACAGCTGTGTCCGGGGGCAGAAGGCAAACAGCCTAGAGCAGCGGTTGCCAACTGGTGGTCCGTGGGCCACTGGTGACCCTGAGGTCCGAAAGGTTGGCGACCGCTGGTTTAAGCCAGCCTTCCTCCCCATGTCAGATGGGGCAAATGCAGTGCTAAGCACCTGTGGTATTCATACATGGAGGGAGAGGAACTGTAAAGATAGCTTTATTCCCATTTTCCATACCCGACAGTCAACAACTAATGCTTACAAATTAGAAAAAAATTAAGAAGTAACATTAGAAATATGGGGGCAAGTAACAGAAGAATCAGGTCAAAAACACCATTAAAAAGGTACAAAAATAAGCCTGGGTGTTGACATTTATAGCGGATATGAAAAAGAATTTGAATGCCCTCTGCATCCACACACATATCTGTAAGTATATAAAGAACTCCTACAAATAACTTCAAATAACATATCCCCATACAGAAATTCCAAAGAATGTGAATAGGCTCTTCACAGAAGAGGGAGCCTGCTGGACCCAAGACATGAGAAGGCAGTCAGGCAGTCCAGCAACGGGAATTAAAACCAAGAGGAGAGAATGCTCTGTATCCACCATGTGACAGAGGTTAACATTTCTACCCGCACCGAGGGCTGGCCAGAGGGCAGAGCAGTGGGACTCTCCGTTGCATCGGCACCTCTAGTGAGGTTAAGGGTGCGCACGCCTTCTCTCCTTCGCACAGAACAATCCTCACACAGGCAGGGACTCACAAGCACAGGCCCCGGGCCACTGCGTGGAAGAGCCACGCACCGTGGACCGAGGGCAGGCTAATAAACGGCGGTTTATTCACAGAATGGAACTCTGTACAGCAAAACGACCTAATTCTGTGTGTGTCATGATGGGTAATCCCCAAAGACAATGATGAATTTAAAAAGCATGTAACGGGAGGCTAGATTCCGTGGGAAACCGTTGTGTAAACGCTTTACGGTAGGTGATGTAAGTGAGCACACACACATTTGGTGAGAAGTGTACAGTAAGGGCAGGGAAGGTGCATACTAACCTTAGAACAACATTGACCTCTTGTTGATTCATACAAACGTTTCACACGGGTTTCAGTCAATGTGGTACCATGAGAAGCGAGGACTGCCTGAATGCCGTTCGGGGGAATTCCCCTTTTTGAAATGTATTCTTGCTTCTAGGAATATGGTAAAACTTTCCCCTCATACGGCCTTTTCTTCTTTGCTCCTTATTAATAACTTCGGAATGGATTTCCACTCCTGCTTTGTCTGTCCATCCTGCATTGAGAAGGGTTTCTGGCTGGGGAGAGTTTTTCTCTAAGGGCCTGTTGAAAACAATGTCTCCAGTGCCCTGGAGTGCCCTCACCACCCTGCCCTCCACCCCCCTCAGGTCTTCAGTGAAATAAACGGATCCGCAGCCTCCTCAGGGGTCTGGATCCCTGGCCGAAACAGGAGCACCTGGCTCTTGGTAGGCCTGTGGGCTCGGCTTGTGAGTCATTCTGTTTCCCTACATGCTCCCTCTACCCCAGGCACACAGTAGGTACTCAGCATCATTTAAAAAATTGATAATTTCAGAAGTAGTAATGGAAGAGCAAGCTAGTCCAAGGGACACCATGGAAAGCGATCGCTTTATTAGCACCTCTGTCATGAAGGTATGCCGGGCCAGGAGGTGCGCAGTGTGGCGCCGTGAACTGCTTTCTGGGCTGTGCAGCGTGGATTTCTCCTCTGTTGCAGGAAGATGCTGAAACTCTGTGGGGAGACAGAGGACAAGCTGGCACAGGAGCTGATTCATTTTGAATTGCAAGTAGAGAGAGATGTGATCGAGCCCCTGTTTTTACTGGCGGAGGTGAGGAGGGATGCGGCCAGGTCTGAGCGAGGAGGGGGGACAGAGGGCGGGCCCTGCAGCCTTTCCCCTGCACTCCTGTTGTTTCTGTCCCTCACCTGCTCTGTGACACTGCTTTCCACGGGGTGACCACCAGCCACGCCCACCGTCAGGATTGCCCAACATGGCAGCCCCTCAGTGTTGGCTGCCCCTTCTCCCGCCCACTTTCCTCTCCGTTGGCGTTCCAGGGGGAGGGGGCAAGCTGGCAGCATTATCCCCTTCCCCACCAGGGTCCCCACTGCCCTCACCACCCTGCCCTCCACCCCCTCAGGTCTGCAGTGAAATGAACGGATCCGCAGCCTCCTCAGGAGCCTGGATCCCTGGCCGAGACCCTATAAGGCAGTGATGGCAAACCTATGACATGCGTGTCAGAGGTGACACGCAAACTCATTTTTTTGGTTGATTTTTCTTTGTTAAATGGCATTTAAATATATAAAATAAATATCAAAGTATAAGTCTTTGTTTTACTATGGCTGCCAATATCAAAAAATTTCTATATGTGACACGGCACCAGAGTTAAGTTAGGGTTTTTCAAAATGCTGACATGCCGAGCTCAAAAGGTTCGCCATCACTGCTATAAGGCCTCCTGCAGTTTGTTACATAGGTCTCTTCTCTTGGACGGTAAAGGGCACTGAACAAAACCGCTTTATTAGCAAGAAACCTTAATGTCTATGTGACAGTTTTGCTAGCATCAAACAAGTAAGACAGGAAATGGTTGGGACTTCCTCTGCCCTGAACCCTGGCTCTCCTCCCAGTTGCCTTTAGTTGGTCAAAGCCCAGCTGGCGCCGGCGCTGGCGCTAGAACCACTAGCATCAATGGGAAGGTCCCATATCCTCACAACTCCTCACCCTCACACCTCCACATCTGCACATCCCCACACCCTCACACCCACACTGCTCTGCACCAGCACACCTCCACGTCCTCATACCCCACACCCGCACACCTCCGCACCTGCATACCCATACAGGGTGGTGGCCACTACCTCCTGTGGCTCTTGAGCTCTGGGAATGTATTCAAAGTGACTGAGGAACTCAGCTTTTAATTTTGTGTGGCTTTTGTTGATTTGAAAATAAAATGGCATAGCCACATGTGGCTGGAGGCTACCTTATTGGACAGCACTGCCCTGGCCATGTCTGGTTTCCTCTCTGGGCCTCCCCCTGCACCTCTACCTCCCCTGCTGCTGTTTCTGGGACAGAATGCCTAGGAGAATGATTGCTAAGTGCCTGAAAGCATTCCGGGAGGAAACCTGAGCTGTGGGCTCTGCTATGGGCCACTCCAGTCTTCTCGGATGCCATTCTGCTACAGGTCACCCCAACCTGTCCTGGGCCCTTGTTCCTCACAAGGTGGCCTGGTATTGCAGCCAACCTGGAGCAGTGCCCAGGGAGGTGTGCCAGGGGCCGAGGGGTTTGTGTGACCACGACGCCTTTGTGGCTCCCAGCATTGCCCCCGAGCTCCGTGATGATGTGGGGTTCCCCAGACACCTCTTCCTTCCTATTGGAAGTCCTTACAATCGGCCCATTGCTCACCCCGCCTAGAAGGATGGATAGACAGCACCTCACAGAACACTGGATCTTCCTCACATTTTCCTCCTCTACAAGCCACAGCCTGAGATGACTTTAGTTCAATTATGGCCAGTTTTTTCTTTTAAATTCTCACATCCTGCCCCAATTTTGCTGGGCCTGGAACCAAAATCCCTCCCTGGAATGTTCAGTTAAGCCATTTTTAGAAATAAAAATATGAAAAGAGCATCCGCGCAACCACCACTGTGGAGGAACGCCTCATAGCCCAGGAGAGCCGTGGGGATGCTGATGTCTTAGTCACTTTGGGAAAAATCCTCTGTCTATAAAAACATACCCTCATTGCATTCCCCATAGCGTCTCGGTCTCCTGAGCCGCTCCTTTCGTTCTTCTGTCTGTGGAGTTAGGTCTGCATGTCAGACCTGCTTATGTCCCCACGTCGGTCCTCGTGCAAGTAGAGAGGAAGGTGACGGAGGCCCGTCTGCCATCAGGGTAGCAGCAGGAATGAGGCCACGCCTCAGAGGGCAGGGGGCGCAGCTCCCAGGTGCTCTGGGCTGCTGCAGGTGCCCAGCGAAGAAAGAGCAGAGTTAGGTCAGGAAAAGGATTCGGGAATTTGACCTAAAAAGAAGGGTTGGGAGACCTCTAGCAAACTTGTGTGTTTGTCAGTCACTCCTGAAGAATTTATTTGGAGCTTCAGCTTGACTGTTTTTCATCTCCTTTAACCACAGGTGGAAATCCCAAATATTCAAAAACAGAGGAAACATTTAGCAAAGTTGGTGCTGGACATGGACTCCTCACGAACAAGGTACAGTAGGGCAACTTTGCTTTCATCTTTGCTGCTTCGAAGGAACACTGATCACCTTTGGGTTGTGAGCAGGAGAATGTGTGATGGTCTGCATACTGACACCCCTGTGTGGCAGGCACTGGAGGTGGGAGCAGTGAGCAGAGCCACCGGCCCCACTCACAGAGGCTGTGGTCCAGTTAGGTAGAGAGCTGGGCAGGTGAGCAGCTACACCAGACAATCTCAGGCAGCCATGAGTCACATGAAGAAATGACCCGGGGGAATGCTGGGAGGGATGCTGGGGGAGGGGGTGGCAGCACCAGCTAGGGTAACGCGAAGAGGGCTTTCTGAGATGACACGTGATCTTAGACATAAATGACGGGAAGGAGGCGGTCGTGCAAAGCTCTGAATCAACACTGTCCATCACGTGGGAGCAGCCAGTGCCGGGCCCTCAGGTGGGAATTAGATGGAGGTACGCAGGGTGCAGGGTGCAGGCCAGCGTGGCTGGGGTAGGAGGAAAAGGGAGAGTAGTGGCATGGATGATGGTTGTGTCTGTAATGAGAGGAGAATTTCGGGTTCTGGGGACCAACTCATCTTTTCCTGAAGCTGACTGTGTAGACATCTCTATCCTGTAGCCATTCTCTAAACACCGCGGCCATTATGAGTAAAGTTCCAGGGTGCCACTCTCTCCCAGAATCCACCAGGGAAGTCCTGGTGTAGCAGGGGTGCTGCAGGCTTTACAGTGCTTCGACTGTGGCCACCACAGGTCGTGGTGGTGCGTCATTTTATTTTTTACAATGGTATGCATGTGTTTATGTAGTCTGCAAGTTGAAAGAATGCAGGGTCATGAATATCTACTTATATAAAAACCCTGGGTGTAACATCACGACCCGAGGAGCGACCAACCGTAAGGAAGTCAGTCCTGCAGGGGTTGTCTTGGAAATGGCTGCACCCTCCCTCGAGCTGTTTCCCAGAGCTGTTTCCAGTAAGGGCGGGGTTTGAGGCAGGAACCCGCCCTCGGAGCAGGGAGGCATATCTTTATAAAGTGTGCTGTGCCAGCACAGCCAAGGTTGAACCTGAGTGAGGGCGGCTGAAAGGCTTAGAAAAGACAGACAAGAGAATGAAAGCTGGGTCTCAGTGGGACACTGCTTCTCTGAGAGACAGCAACCATGCCCACAGCCGTGTCTTTATTTTATAGCAGATGCTACGAGGCAAAGTAAGGGCGTGACCAAGATGTTTACAACATTCTCCTGGGTTTCAATTCTACTCAACTACATGCACCTGAACTCTATCAAGCCTACATCACTCAGGCACATGGGGCCATGTGTTTGGACCATAGGTTCAAGCTTACAACTATAGCTGTTGGCTATAATTGTGCTGGGAGGGCCCTGCCCTCCAAGCAGGGACTTGCACGTGGCAATGAGAGGACTGTGCCCTCTCATCAGTCCAAGGCTTGAACCTGTCCAAAACACTGTAGCGGCTCCCCACAATAAAGTTTTAATACATTATATTAGAGGTTGTGGTGGTACTGTTTTACCCACAGCGTCTACAGGAATTGCTGAAAATTTACTTCTTGGTGGAAGAACCTTTCATTCCCAATATAAATGACCAATTCCATTAAATGAAACTTCAATTTCTAGACTCAATATAAACAGTGAAGTCGCTAAAACTATTAAAAAGGCCCAGCTTCTCATTATTGATGAATGCATCATGGCATCCAGTCATGCTATAAACGCCATAGACAGATTACTAAGAGAAATTATGAATTTGAATGTTGTATTTGGTGGGAAAGTTCTCCTTCTTGGGGGGGATTTTCGACAATGTCTCAGTATTGTACTGCATTCTATGGGATCGGCCATAGTACAAACGAGTTTAAAGTACTGTAATGTTTGGGGATGTTTCAGAAAGTTGTCTCTTAAAACAAATATGAGATCAGAGGACTCTGCTTATAGTGAATAGTTAGTAAAACTTGGAGATGGCAAACTTGATAGCAGTTTTCATTTAGGAATGGATATTATTGAAATCCCCTGTGAAGTGATTTGTAATGGATCTATTATTAAAGCTACCTTTGGAAATAGTATATCTATAGATAATATTAAAAATATATCTAAACATGCAATTCTTTCTCCAAAAAAATGAGCATGTTCAAAAATTAAATGAAGACATTTTGGATATACTCGATGGAGATTTTCACACATATTTGAGTGATGATTCCATTGATTCAACAGATGATGCTGAAAAGGAAAATTTTGCCATCGAATTTCTTAATAGTATTACTCCTTCGGGAATGCTGTGTCATAAATTAAAACTGAAAGTGGTGCAATCATCATGCTATTGAGAAATCTTAATGTTAAATGGGGTCTTTGTAATGGTACCAGATTTATTATCAAAAGATTACAACCTAACATTATTGAAGCTGAAGTAGTAACAGGATCTGCAGAGGGAGAGGTTGTTCTGATTCCAAGAATTGATTTGTCCCGTCTGACACTGGCCTCCCATTTAAATTAATTCAACGACAGTTTCCCGTGATGCCAGCATTTGCGATGATTATTAATAAATCACAAGGACAAACTCTAGACACAGTAGGAATATTCCTACCTGAACCCGTTTTCGCACATGGTCAGTTATATGTTGCTTTCTCTCGAGTTTGAAGAGAATGTGACGTTGCAGTTAAAGTTCTAAATACTTCATCAGAAAGTGTTTTCACTCTTAATGTGGTATACAGGGAGATATTAGAATAAGTTTAATCACTTTATCAGTCATTGTTTGCATCACTGTTGTTTTTATATCATGTTTTTGTTTTTATATCATGTTTTTGTTGTTTTCATATCATGTTTTTGTTGTTTTTATATCATGCCTCTGTTGCTGTTATATCCTTTTGTTACTGTTTATTTATTAATAAATTTATATATTATTTTCATATAAATTTTACTAATTTCCTTTCATCTCTCACACTTCTATTATAGAGAAAGGGCAAATAGCAATATTAAAACATTTCTGCTAATTAATTCCCTTTTAATGTGCACAAATTTCGTGCACCGGGCTACTAGTTAATTAATATGGAATTAACTATTTGGCTCTACCTTAGGTCTGTGGCAGGTCAGTTTTAATAGTCTCCGCATCTTCTTTTAATTTTCTTGAGAAAAAGAAACAAAAACAATATACTTGGGCTGAGAGATGTAGGACAGAGTCACAAACCAGGAGCCAGAAACGAAGTACCAAGATCAAGGTCACCTACTTTCTAGACCTATGACCTTGGTCAGGTCACTTAAACGCCCTGAGTAGCCTGCACACCTGTCGACAGGTAGTAACAACATTTGTGGGTTCACCTGGGGAGGTTGTTTTGAGGTCACAGGACTTTATAAAAGTGCTTTGTGAAAGGAAGCTGCTACTGTCACCAGGTGGGACATTGGAATTTGGCATCTGGACCAGTGAAAAGTATAGGCAGTCCCCCAGAGCAGAAATGAAATAGGTTCGGTCAGCAGAAATACCAAGGTTTCTCTAATGTTTCCCAGACTTCAGTGCACCTGAATGATTTTTGCCATCTGTGCTTACATGTTTTTTAAAAATTGATCCACTTTTTCCAAATGAATCTATTTCACAAAGGAATCTTGTAGCACTGTGCTAAGTTGAAAAGCAGTGCCCTTTGCTGCCAATACCCGGTAAACAAAAGTGAGAGGGATGAAAGCAAAGCCGGTGTTGTTACATTTCAGATCCCGCTGCCTCTGGGAGGCTGTGACCCAGAAGCTCTCCTTTGTTGTGAGGGCCGGGGAGGAGTGGGAAAGTTGCTACAGTTGTTCTGACCCAGATCTGAGGTCTTTCCCTAGTGCGTGTGGAGGAGTCAGAGCAGCCTGCATGCGCAGAATTGATTTGGTGTGACTCACCGCGGCGTCCTGTGCCACATACGATTGCCTCCCATCACCCCTGTCCCATAACTTCATATGGGACAGTGCTCAAGTCCCATACTTTGGGAGGCACATCAGATGATTGAAGAGATGCCGACTGTCCCACTGTCTGGAGGATCGTGGCCACCGTGCTCCTGGGAGGACCAGGTGGTTAGCCCTGACCTCTGGGCTTTGCCAGGATAAGGAAAACCCAAGTTCCAGCACAGAGCTCTGGTCAGAAGGCTAGTGTCCAGCATCAGAGCCTCTCATTGCCACCGCCTCCTCCCTCTTCTGTCCTGTCCTCTGAGATAGGGTGTCTCCTGGGTGACAGCCACGGTCAGTCTAGGCCGTGTGCTGTGCTGAATGGTAGATTCTGGGACCTTAGAGAAAAGTCATTGGGGACTCAAATCCATGATGTAACAGCTTTTTCATAGTTTCAGTTCATCCTCTCTTGTATACCCATTTGGTAAGGAAATCTCTACCGTCCCTCTCCAAATTTCTGTGTTTATAAACTTCAGTTCAGACCTGCAATTATTTTTGTCTCAGACCCCAAACGTCCTTTTAGATGATGCTCATAGAAGCCCCAGTCCTTGGTCCTGTTGGTGGTTCTTCACAGCCCGCTTGTGTGGTTGTGAGTTTGGGGGTTGCAGTTTGCTCTGGAAAAAATCAATAAAATATATTTTTTTAAAAAAAGCCAAGTTACCTTCCCTTCAGGTCTCTGCTTTAGTGCCCACGGTGGGAGATGCAACCCTAGGCCTCGGTTGTCAGTTTAGGTTCCAGGCTTCAGAATGAGAGGGGCTCTCTTAGCAAAGTGACCTCTCTCTTCCCATTTTCATCTCGAGCCTGAGTTCATGCGTCCTGTAGGACCTTGCTGAAAGCCACACAGAGAGGCCAGCTCGCCCACCTTCCTGCCCTTCCACCTCCCCCAGCCCCGAGGCAACATGGGACTGCATCCTGAGATGCAGCAGTGAGCATAAGACCAGCGCCCAGCGCCTTGCTGTTGAATAGCGGGCTCCCCGCCACTCCTCTGGGATAATTGAGTTCTCACTGCCCCACCTCCACCCTCACTACTTCCCGGTTTAGCCAGTCGGCACGTGGTCACTTCTATTTCTTGTGACATCCTCCTCTGGTTGCCAAGTC